TATTTCATCACTGATTCTGTTCTTAATCACTAACAAGAAAACATTAAATTTCCCAAAAAGAAAAAAAAAAAGAGTTCTTAATTTAAAAAAAAATGGTTAAGCTATAGACAACGTTTAGGATAACCATTAAGGTTTAGGAAGCCAGCGAAACGTCCTACACATTTAACAGAGAGCTGTTGTTGTTGTCATTGTTGTTTTAGTCTAGAGCTACACAATGGGCAATTCGAGCTTTGTCCACCGAGTGGAATCGAACCCTGGATTTTAGCATTGTCGGTCCATAACAGAGAGCAACAGCAGGAAATGTTCTCTGTTCATTGAACCACTTTTATGATGCAATAAAAGTTTTACGTTATAGTTCATTCAGAAGATTTCGATCAGTAGTCGATTCTAGAAACTTCTAGTGCCAGCCTCCGTACATAAATTTCGTTATGTTTATTGAACTCTATATCAAGGATTTTCGTTCTCCTACTTTTTAGAAGTATTTGAAATGAAAAGCGAAAATTACTGATTAGCAAACCCAAAAGTGCATTATATTTTTGTATTGTTATCATTATTATAATGAACTACTGAGACTCTTTCTCGAATCGCCCTCTGGTAGCTCAGTGGTAAGTCCGAGAGCTTACAACGCTAAAAATCATATTTCTATACCAGCAGTAGGCGTAGCACAGATAACCCTTTATTTAGCTTTACGCTTAACAACAAACTTTCTGGAACATATTGGTTTTCATTATAGTTCGATCACTTATGATAATGAGAAACAAATACGTGTTAATTACCACCCATGGTTAGCGGACGAACTAAACTGACCTGAGTCTCTCACAACGATAAAAAAAAAAAAAAGCAGGACCAGGTGACACTCTGATCGATAACGTCATGCCTGTGTTGTATTTGGCTCAGGAAACCCGCCAATAGCAGAAAAGGTGACAGTTAGTCTAGAAATGAGTTTAAAAACCTCCCCATCGCCGACTCTGGTATTCAGACTTCAGTTCCAGACTTTGTAAGTGGTATTTCACTGTTTCATTATTACATGCAATACGTTACTTTTACTTATTCTATTTTAATAAGGACCTATACTGATGTAACCTATTTCTGAACCTAAATAATACTAGGTTATAATATAATGAATGATATTAATATTTTAACCTCTTTTAGAATCAAAATAATATCAGGTTAGAATATATTAAAATATACAAGTATTGTTAATCTCTTTATTTCAACCCAAATAATACTAGATTAAAATATATCAAATAATACAAGTATTGTTAATCTCTTTATTTAAACCCAAATAATACTAGATTAGAATATATTAAATAATACAAGTATTGTTAATCTCTTTATTTAAACTCAAATAATACTAGATTAGAATATATTAAATAGAACTAGTATTGTTAATCTCTTTATTTAAACCCAAATAATACTAGATTAGAATATATTAAATAATACAAGTATTGTTAATCTCTTTATTTAAACTCAAATAATACTAGATTAGAATATATTAAAATATACAAGTATTGTTAATCTCTTTATTTCAACCCATATAATACCAGGTTAGAATATATTAAATAATACAAGTATTGTTAATCTCTTTATTTCAACCCATATAATACTAGATTAAAATATATCAAATAAT